ATATTTTTTATATTTTAATGATATTACATAGTTGGAAGCTTAAATAAATAAGTGCACATTTAAAAGAATCAATTCTGCACAATACATATTACGTACTTATTGCTAAGTAAAAACTAAAATTCCTTTTAATTATCTGTGATAATGATGATGAAATTAATTTCTATTAGATTTGTAAACCATATTGTTAATTTAATAATCGATTGCATCATTAAATATTGAACTTGTAATTTTAACAATTTAAATATTTTAAACTAAAAATTGCATTTTATGAAAGGTCTCAACTAGTGATTTATTCACCTTATTGAATATTATTCAGCAAGCAATAAAAAATACATTTTAATTTTGTCAATTTTTTACACTTTCTCGGACTGTTCTAAATTGTATTAAACTAAAATACCAGTTTCAAGAATCACTTTTAAATTGTAACCTAGCCCAGTATTATTCTTTAATACCTGCTCTCTATATTATTTGGTTTTCTTCTCTTATATTTTAAATATTCATAAATTATTTAGTACTTGTAAAAATTATATAAGTAATAATTACCTTTGGTATTAGGTATATTTAGGATTTTAATATGTAAACTTTCATCTTAAATCTATTCAAAATAGATTTACTTATTATGTAATAACTATTTTTTTAGTATCCAGTAATTGTGGCCATGGGCATACTGAAAAAAGCTGCGGCTGAAGTAAATAAAGAATTTGGCCTTGATGCAAAAATTGCTGATGCAATAAGCAAAGCAGCAGATGAAGTAATCAGTGGAAAACTTTACAATGAAGGACATTTTCCTTTAGTAATATGGCAAACTGGATCTGGTACACAGTCAAATATGAACACAAATGAAGTAAGTACAAAGTAGTGATTCAATTTTAAGTTGCAATAAAAAAGTTACAGTTGAATGAAATGTATTACAGGTGATCAGTAATAGAGCTATTGAACTTCTGGGGGGAGAATTGGGATCAAAAGTTCCAGTTCATCCTAATGACCATGTTAATAAAAGTCAGAGCTCCAACGACACTTTTCCAACAGCTATGCATATTGCAGTAGCAATGGAATTAAACAACTTATTGTTGCCATCATTAAAACATCTACATAAGGAATTAGATAAAAAAGCAAAAGAATTCTCTGGCATAATAAAAATTGGTAGAACACACACACAAGTAAGAATAATAGTTAATTGATTTCAATACATTTAAAATTATAATATCTACATGATATTTCTTTATCATGTATTTTCTCTTTTTACTAATGAGTTCTTTAAAATTCAAATCACTAAATCTTTTAAATTTTAAAGTTTTAAGATTTACTGATACCTATTGGATAAAATTATAAAATACTTACTACTTAATTACTATTATACTACATACTATATAGTCATAATATTACTATTCTACTAAAAATACACAATATGTACAGGCTTGCTTTTTTAAATGTTAAATCTTACTGTTCTTAAATAAATTTAAAAAAAAAAAATATATTTTTAGGCTTTTTTTACATAAAATATATTTATCCATATTTTTTTTGTTGTGAATATTAAACAATTAAGCATAATTCAAAATTAATAATGCATAAAAAAATATAATTTTACGTTATTTAAATATTAAAATGTATTATAATAAGTGTTATAGTTTGCTGTATACTATTACTAATAGAGTTGTAAATTATTGTTGATGTAGGATGCTACACCGTTAACTTTAGAACAAGAATTCAGTGGATATGTTAGACAATTACATAATGGTATCAAAAGAGTAGAAAATACCTTACCTCATCTGTATGAACTGGGTTTGGGTGGCACAGCTGTTGGAACAGGCTTGAATACTAGAATTGGTTTTGCTGAAAAATGTGCTGAGAAGATTAGTGAACTAACCAAGTTGCCATTTATAAAATCTCCAAATTTCTTTGAATCACTGGCTGCTCATGACGCTATGGTAGAAGTATCAGGAGCACTAAATGTACTCTCGTGCAGCTTAATGAAGATTGCAAATGATATCAGGTTCCTTGCATCTGGACCAAGAAGTGGCTTAGGCGAACTGTCACTACCAGAAAACGAACCGGGGAGCAGTATTATGCCTGGTATTATATAATAATTTTAATTCTCACTCATTTCATTACTATGATATATTTACTATTACTAAATGTTATATTGTAATTGTAATTTAGGAAAAGTAAATCCTACCCAATGCGAGGCAATGACAATGGTGTGTGCTCAAGTGATGGGTAACCATGTTGCGGTAACGGTTGGTGGAAGTAATGGCCACTTCGAGTTGAATGTTTTCAAACCTATGATTGTATCCAATGTGCTACGGTCTACAAGACTTTTGGCAGATAGTTGTATGTCATTCACAGATAATTGTGTTGTTGGTATTGAAGCTAATAAGGAGAGGATTTCTCATCTTTTACAAAATTCTCTCATGTTAGTTACTGCCTTGAATCCACATATAGGATACGATAAAGTAAGATAATCTATGGTTTTATAGACTTATTTAAATACATAGCAAGTCAACTTTATTAATTTTTTTTTTTAAATTTTAGGCTGCTAAAATTGCAAAAACGGCGCATAAAAATGGATCGACGTTGAAAGAAACTGCGTTACAACTTGGATACTTAACCGAAGAAGAATTTGATAAATGGGTCAGACCAGAAGACATGTTAGGACCCAAATAATTTACTTAATTCAGCATAGGTGTAAAATTACTCATATGTTTTTATCTGTTAATAATGTTAAAAACGTTCTACATTGATTTGAAAAAAAATAACAATAAATTGAAATCAATATTTTTTAGTTAATATTATTCATTTTTTTTGTTATTAAATTTATTTACATAAGTAATCACTTTCAAATCCTGCTATAGAAATACAGTCAAAATTATAGCTTATTGAAATACAACATGTATGTATTGATTTTCTAAACGAGTCCTTGAGTAACACTGAATAAGCTTTGGATTTATTGCTTTGAATACTGTCAAATTTCCATTAATTGTTAAATAACATTATATGAACCCTGTTCACATTAGACTAGCGGTCCCCACTACATGGCCCTTTAACAGATTTTGCACAGGCCCTCACTAAATTTAAATTGTTCATTCTAAAATCTAAAATTCTTTAAAGAGTAAATAAAATTAACGTCGCTTTTTATATGATCTTATTATTCGTATTTATATATTTTATCTTTCAATTTGTATTGAATTACCAGTTGGACAGATTACTGTCACTTATGATTATGAGTTTATATATTTCTACCTCTTAGTTTTGAATGAACAGTTTATGTGTTAGTATTTTATCACTTGTTTTTGTTATAATATTTAATTCTGTGAGTAAGCTGTTAATTTTGATTTTCTATGATTGCAAAACGTCAAAATCAAAAATGAACACAAAATATTTCAGCAGTATTGAGATTGAATTTTCCGTACTTCTGGTAAGAGACACTGCTTTCCGTCAAATTTGTCGTAAAATCATAAATATTCCAAAACGTTATAATACTAATTGTCACTACATAACTCACCATAGTGAATTTTTTAAAAACTATCTCCTTCCACCTAAAATAAGAAAAGAAAAGATAAAAGAATTTTAAAAAAAGATTTTTTTCTGAAAAACAATCAATGTTACGGTTCACTAACAAAAATGAACTTTCAACAAAAGCATTGTTTGAAGTAACATAATATGTTAGCCAAACACAGGAAACCATTTTTAGATGTTGAATTAATAAAAAATTGTATGAAATCAATTGTAAATAATCTGTTCTGTAACTTTTTCAATTTTAAAGAAATACTTTACCAAATTTCAAATAAGCAGTAATCTGACACTACACAATGTGTTTGTAGAATTGAACATCTTGGAAATCAAGAATTCAATTTAGTGATCAACAAATTAATAGATTGCCGATTTTTTTCTTTAGCATTAGATTCAAGTTCTACTTCTCAATTAATCCTTTTTGTTAGATTTTGTTCAAAAGGTAATATTATTAATGAAGATTTTTTGAAAATTATACCAATGAAAAGTCAAACTTGTGGTGTGGATTATATTAAAACAATTTCTACATTCAAAAAATAAAATAGATTGGCAAAATTTGATTTCCATATGTGCAGACGGTTGTCCTGTAATAGTTGGAATTGATTCTGGTCTTATCACTCCTATAAAAATGAAATTGAGAAATCAAAATTAATCAAAAACCAAATAAAAATATATCAATATCTATTTAAAAAACTCTGATAATAGTATGAATGATTTGTATAAAATAAACTATGAATTGACTCTAAAATTATATTAATAAGAGTTCAAGAAAAAAATTTATACAATTTATGTTTTTTCTACAGCACCATTTCGGATTTCCTAACAAAATGTCCTGTCTCATTTTATTATTTTCCATTAAATAAAGTGAGCAGTAGTCAATTTTTAATTATTATTATTAAAAATGTATGCTACTCGCTAGTCACTTTCAAAAGTTATATTTAGCCCTTTCTAAAACATTAGTGAGAACCTCTGCATTAGACATAAACTCTATTTGTGTCTAAGAGCTTACACTACAACAACCAGTCTCCATCAGGAAGAGGTCGATCAAAACAAGTCTATCACAGGACACAGAGTTTACTACCAGTTGCACAAGTTGGTTGCCAAATATGTTTCTTAAATTAAATAGGGTATAGTCAGTAGTCGGTATATACTATTTTTAAAGTGGGTAACAGGTAAACAACACGAAAATAGGAAACAATGTGCGTTACAAGAATATTATTTTGGATACCAAAACCTTTTACAAAAATATCTAACCTAATTTACTTTATACCTAGTATTTTACAATAAAATAACAAGCAGTTTTTTTTATTCGTGCTTTCAAAATATAAGATATACAGATATTAATTAAGTGTTAACAAATATGGTATAAAAAATAAAAACCTACTTAAATTTATTAATTTTGTTTTAGATAAATTACATGACAGGATTTTGATTACATTTTTGAAACATTGAATTCAGGTAAATTTAGTGATTAATCATTCATTACATTGTTTTTACATTTTTTGTGTTTTTTATTTGGAATAACAAAATTACCCTTTTAGTGATTTGCCTAAATACAATATAAGAACAATATTCTCACATAACAACTGATATAATCCAGATTCTCTTATGTATTAGAGATATCAAGATTAAAATAATACTATTAATGGGTTTCTATTGAAATAACATTATATTTTAGGAGAAATAAGTTCAAAGTATTACATACTTAACCAACAAAATGTATAAAACAACAATTTAAATTTTTTACAAGTAAAATAATCTCAAAAACAGTCTTATCATAATTCAAAATAAAACTTTAATTACAAAGATTTTAATGTAAAAAAACTATTATTTATGTTTTCCATGTGATCCATTATGTGGTTTATTCCCATTTCTGGGGCGGCTTCTTCTCTTTTTTAAAAGTAATTCCCAATCTTTACGAGCTAGCATGTATAACTGTAGTGCTGCCTTGGCGTCTTGAACGGAACTGTGTTCTCCTTCCTGTATGCTAGCTCCAAGAAAATGTAATGTCAATCGTTTCAGACCTGGGGTTCGACCCTCTGTCAATTGTTTGAATTGCCAATAAGTTGAGGTGTCTCTAATCATATGTTTGGGGTGTGAAATCCTCAATACCCTCAAATCATGTTCTAATGCATGTCCTACCAATAATTTGTTTTTGAGTATTTGTGTGACTTCTTTTTTAACTTTGGTAAATACCTCCCCGTGTGCAATATCTTCAGGTCGAATGCCACTCACCGGCGTACGATAATCCGTCACTGGCGCTGTGGGCTTCACAAACTTGTCATAAATAGTTTCACCTTTAGAGTTAACAATTGAAACACGAGCCAACATGTTTCCCTGTCCATCAGGATGTATGCCGACCATTTCGCAGTCGATCGCTACAACTTCAATATCTTTTTTTTCCTTCTGAAACAAAAACAAGGGGTAGATAAGCACACAGTGAGTCAACTACACTCACAGGACTAAAACCACAGATGCTCTGGTTAAATTACCTGCACGACGGCATTGTTGTTTAAATTACTAGTGGGCGGCGGTGAAGCGTTTGTAAACTTTAACCAATTGTTGGCACCGTTGGCGTTCTTATGAACCGCCGATGCGACGTTTTTGTCCATTCTCAGCTGTAATATTGGCTAATAAATAATAGACAAAAAGCATAGAATAACACGATGTCCTGCAGGCCACAGGATCGGGGATGTACCGCACTAGTGACTACCGGAGCCACGGGGCACGGAGTAAGTAACCGGGATCTGGCCGGCCAGATACGACGTCGTTGATAAGAGTAAACATGAACTACACGACGCCCACGACGGATAAAATATAAAAAAATAAAATTGAATAATTTTATAGTGATAACACAGACCCTCCACGGTCGTAGTGGGTTTTGTCGGGAATACTTTAGAGTTTCGGACCACACTTCATTAACTATAACTGAGTACCGCGGCCCACGGGTAGTTAATAATACTATAATTGTTGAGATTCGGGGGGAATCACAAATCGAATACACGAAAACGATATTTTGGAAGGAATGAAGTAGAAAATTGAGTAGGTATATAAAATTAACGAACACGACGGTTGGACCAGAACGGAAACAACATAACCTCCAAATACCAAGACTGAACAATAATCATAGGAATGAATGTGTAGGAATTTCGTATTATCTATTTTAGGTTAAATTTGAGGTGTCTTTTAAAAATAATATAACAATCATAATAATTAAATCGGTTGCGATAATAATAATAATAATAATAATAATAATGACGATGACGATTGACGATAAGTCGTTGCCGTCATCGCCGCAAATTTAAATACAGTGAATAACGATAATATTGTTATTATTTATTATCGGACAGTACCGATTCGCGAAATCGTGACTCGCCAGTCGCCAGTCGCCACTCACGAGTCACGAGTCGTTACTGAATCGTTGTCGTTGTCACTCGTCGTCCGTCGTACAGTAATAGTTGACGGATAGTAGTCGGTCTTTTATTTATCACACGCCAAGACCGAATACTAATTTGCCGATTTTGCCGACTAAAATCAAATCTCAATACTCTCAGTTTCGGGGAAAAGTCGTGTTCGTGGCTCGTCGTCGCCGAAATTTAAGTAAGTACGTCCTAGATTAATATGTACCCGACTAGCAACTACCCAAGTCTGCGTTAGTGCGTTCTCGTTTCAACTTTCAAGGCTGTGGACTCAAATGTCCCGGTTCACAGTCGCCCCATTTTACTTTCGTCGATTTATTTTTTCATTTCTACCTAAGTACTCCTTCCTAAATATTATAATTAATTGCCGTCCGAATATTGTTACCTACCTACACACACACACATGGACACATGTGGCAGTCTTATTTACGTATCTACACAATAGTTAGGTTTCTATAATAGCCACTGCCACAGTGTACACAATAAATCATTGTACCTACTCGTGTCTCGTAATAATAGATCATTCGGTCGATTGCCTCGAGGGAGACTTTTACGTAATCAATTTCCCGGTGGCTCGTCGTCTATTGTGTGCACTGTGCAGTTGTCAGTTACTATTATTGCGACGGTTGTCGTCCAATACTGCAACTGTTTGTGGGCTCCAAGGTAATGATGCCCCTTGGGGGGTGTTGTGTGTCATGTCAACAAAGCCAACTTTCACGGTCCACTACCTCCCTCCCACACATTATGAACGTCATGTGTTTTGCAATCTTGTAAGTTGTGATACTGCTCTTACCCGCTAAGTATTATGGGTATTGTTTTTGGTGAAAAAAAAATTTCGCATTTCACCCTTTGTCGAGGGACTATCCGAAGCTATATTTTCAACACTGCCATTCAGTATGCTCATCGTTATATAGGTAATGTTTGCCGGTTGTTCAATGCGCTGTTATTGTTGTTTGAATTCTCACAAGACTATTAAATTCGATACTACTTTGTTTTTGTTCTATTTAAATTTGGTTTTGTTGATGTAAGACTATATGGAAGGTATAACCTTTTTTTCAAAAAACTTTTTTTATTTACCACCGTCTACGGCCCATCACATAAATAAAACATACATGATTCATCTATGGGTATTACCTATTATTAATAAGCTTCTCAAAATTACATTGTAGCAAGATGTGTTTACGCTTTACATATTATATGACATTCATATTGTTCGTGAACTTCAATTATAATTAAAAAAAAAAAAATAAGTGGTAAATAAATATAAAAATGTTGTCGATCCATTTTTAAAATTATGTATATTTGTGGTTAGGTATATTAAATAATAAAAGAATAACACTGGAATTAACAAATCTTATATGAACTAACTGCCATTTGTTTATCTTAATTACATTTTTCATGTACCTAAACACTACTTGTCTTATTTTCAATGTTCTAATGAGTCAATATTTAAAAATTAACCAAATTATTTGATTATTTTGTTATAATGTAGTTGATTTTGTATTTTATACATAACCTACTATTTCAAGTTTTTTTGTTTTACCTAATAGTTTATCACTTAAAGAAGAGTGCTCTAAACACTGTATCTGTTTTAGAGCAATCTTGTTTCAAAAAGATAATTTTGTTGAAATCTCAATCAAAGGTTTTAAAATATACCTTCTGTCAACTAGTATAATTATTTGTTATTTAGTGTTTCAACATAACTTTCAAGTTCTAAGAAAAGAAAAGCGTAATTTTTATAGTTATCCATTTCATATTATTTTTTAGAAGTACCAAATTAACTTGAAAAAAATTAAAGATATCAGACTATACGAAGAATATTTCAACGTAAGTTCCTGTGATACATTTGCATTTTGATCATAAGAAGAATTTAATAAGTTTCTTTTAAAATAGTAATACAATATTTTATGATTAATAAATCATGTACAAACAAATACTTTTCTAATAAAATATTTATTTAAAATTATCTTAAGTGGATAGTATTAACATTAAGTATGCATAATACTTGACTACATACAGCATTTTTTTGAGTATTTATTTAAATAATAAATGAAATCATAAAATTTGTTGTACTCATTAATTTATGTAGGGTTGTAAGGACAACATTTTTGGTTCAATTTTTTGCAATATTTTTATCAATCTTTGGATGATTTTGTTCTGATTTATTCAGTATTGCAGTAACCTATCGTTTCTCTAGAGATTTTAACAGTATTATATTATTATATAGTACCTACCTGGCTATCTTATCTATCAATTATTTTAAGTATCAGAAAATACATTTTTCTAAGGTATTTTAATTGTGTGAATTCAACAGGAACAATGAAGCTGTTCAAGTGATTAAACCAGTGTGCTCTATTGACAGTGATGAGTACCAGAGACGCAACAGATGACCGCTATATTGACGATTCTATCCGAAATTGCAAAAAACCACCTTTCAAGGTAAAGTCACCATCATATGTCAACATATCTAGATCTATAAATGGTTATACATCATCCTTAACACAGTACGATAGCAAGAAACGCGAGAGTCGATCTAGAGATTGTAGTCCTATCAATGTACGCACGGTTAATAGTAATATGGAAGACCAACATATTATGACGAAATGTTCAATTACTGATACCGTTGATTATAGGACTGAATCAGCTAATTCCGTAGTTGTAAACACAATTCAAAGACTTTACGGTTCTAGTGTTAAAGTGTCGCCAAAGGAAAAAAGATTGAACAACATTCCTAAATCAACTGTAATACATAGAGAACATACACCTGACAGACATGATTTGCCTGTGTTAAAATTGCTCAACCCCCAATTCCGGGCAAAATTAGTAATAAATAATAATTCACCACCCCCAAAAATTAAACCTTCACAAATCACCAATGGTAGTGATGTAGAAGTTAATGGTGGCAACTACTTTATTAAATTAGTTAGCTTAGAATGTGATACAATAAGAAAATTAATATCGCAGGTAGAATGCTTGTTACCAATGGCTCCTGAAAATGGCCAAGCTCGTATTCAAGCTATCGTTGGTAAATCAAATCTGTTAATGTCCAAAAAAATTCAACAATTCCTTGGCTTATGTGAAAGTAATATATCCTGTGCACTCAATGATTTATCCAGACCCAAAAACAATGATTTAGAAGGGTTTTGGGATATGGTCAAAATACAAGTTGAGCAGGTTAAAACTGAAATGCGAGAAATTATTGATATAAGTAATAAAGGTTGGCCTGATGACGAAGACGAAAACAAAAATAAAGAGATACCTATCAAAACAATTAAAGTAAAAACGAAAATAAAAAAACCTGTTGTTTTAAATTCAAAATATGACGCGGCTAGAAGAAAAGCAATTGAAGATCAACGCAAGGCAATGAAAAACTTAAAAAGTGATGATATTATATTTTTTTAACTTTAAGTGTGTAGAGATTATACTGTAATATTATGTGTTAATGAGTATTATAATATTTAATTAGTAATTGTTTAACTTTTTAATTTATATATATTTTGTATATTATGTCACTTGCATTATTGTAAACCATTATTTTACATTTTTAAACAAATTTTATCAAAATTTAAAACATATTGTATTATTGTTAATACATTATGATTATTTATGTTGATGAGTATTTTTAACTTTTTTAAACAAGTGCACTTATAGTTAATATAAATTTTGTATTTTGGTTTAACCAAACCATAGAATAAGAAATAACAACTAAGACAAATTTCTAAATTAAAATTTTATATGAACAAAATAACTAAAATTGAATTAATTAAAACAGTTTTGTATTATTTATAATTTGTTTTGCTCAATATTTATTTACCCAAGTATGTTATTTACAATAATATTTTGTGTATAAGTTATTTTCTTATCCAATATACTAGAGTATTTAACATAACATAAGTAATTTTAATTCCTACCCTTCTAATAGTATACTCCTTTATTTTATCTACCTCCTTTCCTCTTGCCAGATGTCCAAACGGATGTATATATTATAATCAGCAGATACCTACTTATTGGAAATGAATAATTTGTCTTTTAAAAGTCTTATTTAAATTATCCATAAGGCTAAGTCATATAGTCATATAGTTGGCTGTTTCAGAATATGAAGTACAGTACAAATTAACACTTAAGTTTTTTTATTTTGAGTTGAGGTGAACTATATTTTTAATTATATGTTAACTATGTGTTAATCATAACAATATTAAATATATTTGTGGCTTTATTACTCAATTAAATTTTTTTTTAAATAAAGTTATTGACAGGGACTTAGCGTTGGGGAAAAACTATAATTAACTAATGATTAAAATCTTAAAAAGATTAAATTTACCTATAATACCTATTTTAAATCGATGTATTTCAATACATATGCAATTGTTTAATTTGTCGATACAAATATAAAGGATTAACATGATAAAATGATTATAAGTTAATTATAAAAAAAAATTTGAAAGTTAAATTAATTATACTTGATCAAAATTTCAATCATAGTCCATGATTAATTTTGTTTAGTATTGGTTTTAGATTTTCAGTGGAGCTATGAATGTATTGATTTTACAAATATGTGTGTTTTTTTTCTGACCAAACATTTTTCCTAGTAGAAATAATGCTTTGATTTTTAATTTCAGCATCTTTTCTGATGGGAAAGTGAAACTAGTTGATACTTGTGAGAAGTTAAATTAGAACATTCAAAGCAGTTTTCAAAATAATTGGGAGAAACAAACAAAAAATTAAGGGAAATGTGGATTTCTATGTAAAACCAGTTTTTTGACAAACCGTTTTCTACCGCCTCTTCTCAGAAACGTTTTTGGATACTATTTGTTACTACTTTTTGGATATATATCATTGAATTAAAATTTAACACCATCTGTTACAATGTCATTCTAACATACCATACAGCAGAGCGGTATTCACCATTTTTAATTGTGAAATAGTTTTAAAATTTGTAATAATATCTAAATCCATATAGTATTGACAATATTTGAATAAATGCATATTCATTGCAATGAAGAGATAATTTAATTCTTTTAAACAATGCTTAATCCTAATAATCATTGTTTAATTATAGATTTTTTGGCCCAACTCTGTTAACACCCTCCTTATATATAATATATAAGAGTTACTTTAATTGTAAAAGCCTGTCTACACTGGTTAAAATATTGTAGTTCAAGTTAAAAATACACGAGTACAAAAAAAAATTTTAAACACGCATTTTGACTCACATTCTTTATATATTTGAATTTAATTTACATATTGTATAGTGTATATTATTATTATATATATATATATATTGTTAATGTGTTCTCAAATGTATATTTTTCCAATTTTATATAATTTTAATATTATGGTATTAATGCATTATATAGGTATTATGACACATATTTGAGTGAATACGAGTTGTACTTTATACATGATTGATTTATATTTTATTCTGAATTATTCCTTTACTTGATGTTTGATTATTCAAAAATTAGTCTTACGTTTTATAAATATGTTAATTATATAACTACGTTAAACATTATAGTTTGGTTGATTGTAGGTATCTACGACGTATTAACAATTTACAACTAAAAATGTTGATACCCACTGTTAGGGATTTTTTTCCTGCTTATTAACACAAATACACAATAATATTAGCATTTTTCAATTTTTCAATGATTGTTGAAACTCAAAGTCAGAAGTTGTCTTAAGATAATTTACGATGACATAAATTATACTTATAACACCCATGTTTTGAATTGAAACATATTATATTCTTTATAGTATTTTATAGTATTTATTTTTTTAGTTGGCGAAAAAATACATTATTATTAGGTATATATTATACTTCTGTCGTTTGTACTTTCTATACGTAGGTAATTACATAGATAATATTATGTAAGTATAAAATAAATACCTTATATTATTATAGCTATCTAAACATTGAAGAAGAAATAATAACTTTCAGAGCATAAATTCATTAAATTATGTCTGGCGAAGTTAAAAACAATTACAGACGTAAATAAGTAACTACTTATAAAACAAACTTGTAAACACATTTAGGTACATCATACACACCAAAGCCGCAACTAGAAATTAATTTCGGGGGGGGGGGACCCCTCCCAGATGATACACACGTCAATCGTCTTGAGATTCAAAAATTATAATGTCACAAAATCTTTATATTTAATTGATGTTTCTATATTATAATTTATAATATTGAATTTATTTTAGTTAATGCAAAACAGATGCAATTAGATTGGCTAACGATGAAACTCATAATTTATTGTTGTATGGAATAACTGCATAAGTAGCAATTTTATATTAAGGTGTATAGGTTCAATAGTAAAAATTGCAAAAAAAATGTTACATAATCATGGAATTTTTACAATTCAGTTATATGTACTTATTATTTTTTTTTTAACGAAACGATTTGCCTCACCTGATCTTTTCAGAGCACTTTTCCGATAGGTCGACATACGTTCAAATAAGTATATTAATTGTGTGGTACTCGCCAGTGGCGCAGGAGTGTTTTAAATATACTATGACATCGTATATCATGCCCCCCACCATTTTTTTAATTCAACCATCAGATTCAAATCAAATCACTTACATATAATAGGTAATGCGATGTTTAATAATTATTTTTCCGTTTTAACTTAAATTCTGGATGCAGTACCTTACGAGTTACGGTGTGCCACCTCATCTAAAAAATATGACATGACATACATAAATTAGGTGATCGGCGCCACCGGTATTCACAGTAGGGTATAGTATTAATTACATAATATATATGCATAGATAATAAAGATATATTAAAAATCTTGATTAGGTATCTATAGATATATTATTATATCTCTCAAAGAAATCAACTCACTCGCCCACGTGTAACGGACGATTGTAAACTCCACCAAAAACCGGTTATACGAAAAGGTAATGAAAAAGTCTAATGTAAACTTCACCACTTTTATTTTCTTTCCTGTAATGAGTACAGCCAGTGTTAAGGCTTTGTTTGTGTAAAACTTGATAGTATATTTCAACCAAAAAAACTCGATACATCTACTCCTGTATAGCTACTCTCAAAACATAATGTGGTTGATATGACCCATCACAACCCCGAGAACGACCTTTCATACGTACTACTTACAGGGGTTGGCCAGCATCGCGCTTAGAATAATACGTATTCACAAAATTCTACGACATGTGCGGGCCATCACGATTTTATATAATATAATGCATTGAATTGGTCAGTGTTGATTATGCTCGTATTGTAAATGTTGAATGTGGCGAAAAAATTCAGTTTAATTGGACTGGTGGGCGAACGGACCCTCTCCTCTGTACCTGCACTGCCGTACAGTGTGTATCTCGGAGTTTTACATGAAAATTTGGTACTATAAAATAGGTAGGTAGGTAAATCGTCAGATGTTTTTGATATTATATTCTCTGTATAGGTACTGTACATCGTAATAATTGCGTCGGCGGCGTAAACACCATAAGACCGACGTCCGACGATATTAGTGGTTTACCAGATACCAACATAATAATGTTACATCCATTATCCATAATAATATGTATATAGATAGGTACGTCACTGAAATGTTTTCGTAGGCGAAAAACAAAAAAATGATATTTATTGGAAAACTCAAAACATAATTTATTACGAGTTTAATGTGTGGTGTATAAGCTGTCGGATAACACCTACCTATTGGCCGCGAATTAACCTCATCTCCAAAATCGTAAATAGGTTCCTACCTACTTCCACTTCGAGACATGTTACGATTATGTTCTGTTAAAATCGTTTTTTAATGATTGAAATTATATTATTCGCGTGTCCGAAATACTATTACGTACCTATTATAATTTATGTACCCACCTGTGAACCTGATGCCCTCGATCGAGCGAAAAAATACGGATGGTATAGATATTGTATTCAACTAACAGTTACCTACGAGTAACACTACGGCTATATAGATCAGGGGTCGGTAACCTTCGGCCCGCAAAGAGATTTTGTGCAACCCGCGTCAGAAATGTATAATGTACATAAAAAACCAACACATTATAAACCTAATCCATATACCTAACAAGAACATTACTGTGCTCTTAATGTTTGTTGATGTGTAACCAGTATTTCTGAAATTATTACGCACAACTACACTCTGCAGTGTATAATCTACGGTGTTAATATTGTAGTTTTTCTGTACATTGCAGTCTATTGAACATGTTTGTCGTACAAAAATAAATTAATAGTTACCTACTTACCTACCTATTAGGCATAAAACATTGAATGACTAGAGTAAAAAAAGTGAATAATTTTTATGTTGCCTTTGATAATTTTTAATACGGTTTTTAGCCATTGTTAAAAAAAAATATAGTTTTTGTTTGTTTCAACATTTTAACTTAATTATAGGTAACTTACTCGTACCACGGAAACAACATTATATCGAATTTGTGACGAACAAAAAAATAATTTAATGTTCGTTTTTTTATTACTTCTAGGCTATAAATTAATCACAAATTATAGTCTTAATAGGTTGAAGGTATTTAATATAGGTATTATATGTCATTAATTAACCTATATTATATTATAATTAATTCATAAGTACCTATATCATATGTATAGTAAGTAGGTTATATACTAATATGCCCATTTGAATGAGTAATGACGTGCATGTACATTCATAATTTATGTATGTGTCTGCAATACCAACGAGGTTAAAACAATATTAACTTAAAAAAAAATTATCGATGCGATTCATGTGCACACAAAATGAATAATATAATATGTTGTAGCCTGATCATGATGTGGAAAAAATACATTATTTAGAACTGGTATAACGTATTTGTGTGTAGATTTGTCTGCTTTTAATTTTAAAATAAACAATAAAAAAAAAATAATAACAAAAGTAATAATAATCGCATATATTTGGGTATGCAAGGTCCTGCAAAAGTCTAAATCATTTATTATTGACCATAATTATTGCAGTTGTATACATATTATGTAGGTAAATACAATTGATAACATATTATATCTACCCTCAACAATGTTTCTTAAATTTACTGTAAATGAAATATTATTGAAATTATATAGGTATTAGGAGGCACCTATAGATGGAGTATGATACATATACATATAATTTACGAGTATACCAATTTCCAATATTTATGATTAATAACCTGAAATAGCCGATAAAGCTCAGCACAAGGAACATATATCGTGCGTATGAAATACAACTATAGTACCTTCCATAATAATAATTAGAGTCTGGATTTTTATTTTTTTTGTACATTATTTGTATAGTTTGTTTTTAACTATTATTTTTATGAGCAATTTACTGTTGGTGTCATTTGATACAATACGAATATACGTTAAGAGTAACAAATATGACTGGTTAACATTATTTTGATGAAAGGGGCCACCCATTAATGACACTTTCTAGTTCCTATGTGATTTGTATAGTGAAATTATTTTTTGTATTTTTAATTTTTAAAACGACTTAAATATTATTTAATATATAGGGGTAACTGCCGATCGGATGAATGACTGTCAAGGGATAATCTTGATTACCTTGTTTATTACAAAACTATGATAACTAAAAATCAGCTCTCCTCGTGGAATGATTCATTTTGTTATAATATAAATATATGAGTATATGTCTTATTTATGGTAACTAGTAGTTCTCAGTTACTTTTTTTAGCTAAACAATTGTTGTCAGTGTTTATTATATACATTTTTTCCAAAAATCATCTTCGTACAGCATTTTTCGAGGTGGTTTGTTTTGTTTTATTTTTCTTTGTTTGCATTTCTTAATAACCAGCAAGAAGTAAGGTTTACATAATTGCGCATTATCTTGACGCATATTTTACGGCATTGGTAGTTATATTTTATGTAGCGCGCATATTTATAGTTTTAAATGTTATTAAATCGGGTAAATTTATCAATAAGTTATAAGTTATAGATAAAAACGTTTCAAAAATGTATCGAATATTGATAGGTAATTTAAAAGTACATCATTTATATTATCACTAGGTACCTAAGTAGTAAGTGCTAATAGTAGTCTGGTCCAATTACATGCATTTATTAATGTTGTTTTCTAGACTGAGTGTTATGAGTTATAACATTTAAAAGTAACGATGCATAAATTAAAATAATAACAGTTCTGGTTTCTAATAGCAAATCATAGGTGTGGAACATTTGAATTGTGTAATAAAATATGTAGTTACATAATTTATATTAACTACAAATTATTGTTTTAAAAAAATGTTTGGTATAATGTAATTGTAAATCACTTACATTCCTATAGATTTGATTATACTCGTAGTTTCTAAATTCACCAAGCTTAGGTATGTACAATCATAAATACCTACAGTCTGCGGGGTAATACCTGCATCTAATGAAAGACACACATTATTTCAGAAAACACTAATGTTCTTGAACAGTTGAACATATTTCTTTTGCAACATCTGTAACAAAATTTATTTTGATTTTGAATGGCAACATACATTTATAATTTCATATTCTGAAGTAGGTGGAATATTATTCGGAGTATTAATATCTATAAAAATCAAATTTCGGACAAGACGTATAGTTTATCACATATAACTCATGAACTATGTGTCCGTCTGAAATTAAATTTGTATGTATCGAAATTCTCCAAAAAATATTCTCACTCTGGAACAAGGAATTAAAAATGCACTAAAAAAGTAAAAATTAAAAAATTGTGAATTACAAAAAATAGTATTTAATAATATTGTTTTCAACGACTTTAAATCTAAAAAAAAATTTTAATAGTTTTTGAAATAATTTATGTGTGTTACTTTTCATCCGATTTATTTGATAAATATCAAATATATTTTATAACCTAATCTAACCTACTTAAAAGATAAAACGTTGAGAAAATGTCAACTTCGCTGTAGAAGTACTTAAGACTTAAAATGTTAAAAATTGTTTATAATACTTTCAAACTATATATAGGTAACTAGGTATCTCAGGCATATTTTGTCCGTCAAATTTAATTTAAAAAATAAAAATATATATAATATTATTTTAATCTACGTTACTTTACCTTGGACGTTCTATAGAGGGGAGAGTATAACGGATATGATACATAGATAATTTCAAGTTTTAAGTTATTTGAATTTTTCATTTTTATAGTAAGTTTTGACACGGAATGTCATTACGTCAAACAAAAGAACAGAATTTAATTAATTATGACAAAAAAAAGATACGATTTGCTTTTGTTTCCGATGCTCTTTTTACAACTTTTTTGTTTCCTCGACCCTTTAGTCCCAATAATAAAATGCAATGAATTTTAAATATTAATGGATCTTTTTAAATTTTTTTTTTTTATTTGAGCCTCTCAGTATAAACTATTATAACTCGACAATTTAATAGGTCTTATCTGTTGTGATTATTAATAATTATGTTATAAACTATAATAATTTATTAAATTGTTAAGCCTTTCACTTTTCAGTAACATACTTAAAATATTTGGTATAAATCTTTAAAATGTTATGTATTTTAGAAACTCTAATAAACTTAGCACAGGCGTATAAAAAAAAAATTGTATTGTTACTGTTATAATTATTTTAATATTTTTGTTGTTTTAATTGGTTATGTAGGTGCTGTATTCCTAGACACTATACCTATACGTTTGTAAATAACTATATCGGCTTCAATATGATTGGAATATGGACTTTGTTACGTTTTAAATCGACCAATTGTAAAAAAGATCTGGGCACAGTGTTTAAAAAGATGAATAAAGATACCAAACAGTTATTCGGCGATCTGTTAGAAACGAACAAAACGCGAAAACACCGTTTGAAACTTGCAGACAAAATCGTGGGCGACGAAAAGGAAAAAGAAAATAATTATCTTAATCGATTGAAGTCACAGATCAAACCGACGTTGGAAGGTACCCAGAGCTTGCCGTCTATAAACACATCATTTTAATTTGAATGTTTATCTTACCGTTATACAATGTAATTTTTAGATGGTATCAATAGTATGGTGAATGATTCAAAGCAGTATTTAAACCAAGAATACTACAGTAAGCTCACCGCCGAATTGCCTTCCGAAATGATTATTCACGAAACCCCCAAACGTGATATACCTTCAGTAACAAACATTCTTATTACCACAATGTCAGAGAAGTCAAAAGCAGCTTTAGAAAATTGGAAAAAGAGTATGATTGAAAAGCTGGGAGAAGACGGTTTTAATAAATATAGCAGAGGTAACATTTGTGTTTTAAAAAAGCAACTAAACTTTTTTATGGTTAAAAAAATAATATAATATGGTATCTGCTTCTGCTATACTTAAGTACTATACATCCGAATTAATGCTTCTACTATTGTGTAGTCGAACGAAAAGAAAAACATTTTATTGGCGGCTTATATAAAATTCGGAAAATGTCTTTTATAATAATATAAATAGTTTTATATTTCTATTAACGGCGAAACAGAAAAATGCTAGAGATTAAAATATATACCAACTTAGTTGTATAAAAGTATAAGTACACGGTTTATATTTTAAAGGACTATGCAACTAAAAAAAAAATGATTTTTTTTTATTGTGTGAAAATGTAGTACTTTAAAAAAGAATAATTTTGATGCTCTCAAAATTGTTGTCGGACAATTGCTTCCGTGTTTAAATATAAGTCGCGTTTTACGCGTGACGTCATAAAATCACACCGTCCGTCGGGCCGTATCTAAAATACACACGTGGTATGTCTTTCGCGCGATTAAAATAACTATAGAGACAAATTGATTCAACATTAATAATATGATACTTTTTATTTTAAGTTTAAACAAATATGTTATTATAATTTATAGGTTTATAATACATTAATATACACGGTAATCTTTTTATTTTTACTTTGATCACTTCTTATTTGGAAAAGTATTACATTTTTTGCAAACCTTATTTTTTGTTAATTATAGGTAAGTATACAGGACATTTTAATATTATGTCATGCCATTTGTTTTTGGTTTGTGAACCCACTGACAATAATGGCCACGTGGGTGATCAATAAATAATTCTATTATTCTACTATACAGTCGAACAAAAATAAAAAACAATACTCATACTTGAACTATACTATTTGGAAAATCGTTATTTTGTAATGAAATGTTCGAACTTCAAGTAGGTTTTTGAAATAACAAGTGTTCGTCGCTAAAAGAATCAACCCTGTATCACACTGTGTTAACTCGTCTCAAATGGGATAGAACCATATATTTCATCCCCCTTCTAATTACACCACTGCTTCTATATTGCATCCATTCACAGATGTATACGTAGTATATACAGTACCTATACACGGAATATTTAATAATACATATTTTGTTTTCGATCCGATATCGGATGAAAAAATAATTTTATTATTTGAAAATTCGATTTAACGCCGTAAATCTAATATACTGTCGGGCATAATATAATAATGCACCGGTGAATATTGCACGGCACTATACTAAATAGCTATATAGTTTGCTTTTCAGAATGATTTAATTCCGTGTAATAAAAATAATGTAAAATGTAGTATATTTTAGACACTATATGAATATTTTGTCAACACACGAGAACCATGATGATTATGGTACCTATATGATATTAGCAGTTAGTATTTAGTACCCATAACGTTATCTGATATCAATATTTTTAATTAAACTATTGAAACCATTTAAAAATAAAATAAAATTGACTATAGACTTTTGTGATAAATCGTCAAAGTATGTCATTAATGTTTTACTGCAGTACCTAATACCTTTATATTACATTCACTATTAATTCTTACAGTTAATATTGTGCTTTCGAAAGAACGATTACGGTATATATTTTGTTTCAGTCCATTATTTTTCCAAGTTAGAAAATTTTTATCGTTTCATTAATAATATTATTTTTTAACCTAGAATTTGGATGACTCTTTTATAATATTTAAAGATCAGATATTTTAAAGTGTTCAGTTAGTATCGCGATTCGCGGCTATAGTTGTACAGAATATGGTTTCACTTACTTGAAGCGGTTTTATGTTAAAATTTTGCAGATCACCTAAATAAACAGCAAACCAATATACACATTATTATTCAACATTATTATAATTTAGCGCTGGTGTGGTCGTGTGGGTATTGACCCACTGGGGTGAATTCTGAGTGGAGTCGCACTCATAACTATATATATTGGTACTCTTATTGTATAATATACAATAATAGTAGGTATATAGGTATAAACACATAATCAGAATTTAATTCACGATGGCGATGTAACTTCTGTTAAATGTATGCAATCTAAATAACTAACGAGGTACCAATGGCAAGTACTGAATTTCGGGGAAAATGCAAATTCGTTTACGCAATGAAAATAAGTGCATATAGTACTATATGCTTAAAAATGTATAGTCATGATGCATTACCAGCCGTTATACCAGTTCTGTTAATTATCACCATATATATAATAATTTTGCTTTAATAGTCGTTTGTACAAAGTCGTATTGAGCTCCGAGTTCTGATCAAACTATTTTTGTTTGCAGCGTCACACGTCTGCAGCAGTCGTCGGCTAATCGGGCTGTTTGACGAAATTAAATATAATGCCACGGGTGGGCATTAAATATTAATATGTACAATAATTATGTCCACGAATAACACACACGGGCGCGCACTCTTGAATGTCTCGATCAGTATGGGTATTATTATATGCGTTCTAAAACTATCTCTACAATGTTTTATTCAGTGCAGTATAATTCGATCTGCGCAGCGGTGTGAGCCGTTTTAATCACAAATGGAAAATCGTTTAATTTAATTGTAACTGCTGTAGCAGGTATCGTATCGACGGCTTTAAAAAAGACTCATAAAAAAGGGGCGTGGAAATGGAGATTATTCCCAACGGAACTTATTTGGGAAGTACACGACGGTGAAGTATCTGAGAGTTGAAATAATAGCTAGTAGGACAGTCTATAAAATGCTGTTTTTGCAAAATACGGTATACCTACCTACTATAGTTGTAGTTGTATAGGGTGGTTATTACATTTTAACGATGGAAAAAATACAAATCATATTATATATTTATGTCAAGTTATTCGTTTTGAATGATCTTACCTAGTTATAAGTAGGTACGTTATATTGTGCAAGAATTGCTTACTATACAGGAAAGTGCTCTTACTGGAATTCTACTTGAATATAGAATATTTATCGTGGGTACTTCTATATTTACAACTAATTATTCTTAGACGAGAAAGGCGCAATTCAGATGAATTCTCCGAGACTTGTAGTTAGTAGTTAAAAATTAAAATAATAATTACTATCGCCATAACAATTTTTAGTGAAATCTCAACAAAATCGATGTACACTTAATTTTTCACGGTACCAGGAACTCTTAATAAAATATTGATTAACCTAAGTTACAATAAAAATAATTAAATGAGAACCCCAACCCAGACTATGATTTCTCTACTTGTGTTAGAAATTCACCACCCTTATAAATCTTCAGGTTATAGGTATAGATTAGGTTCCAGTACCTCCTCGCATCTGACATTTAATTGTAGATATGAAATGGAATGTTTTGCGCACAAATTGAGAAGTCCGTGGAATTTTTTAACGCATTGTTTTTCTCAAGCACAAAGTGTCACCGCTATGTGGCTCATTTTTGTCAGCCAAATGCATGCTAACCATATCCGTCCTACGCTTACAGAAAAAAAAAAATTAAAATGAATTTATTTGGCTTGTTATGGCTGAACCGGGATAAAATTGTCAGTTATGGTACCAACGAGTTTTATGCCGCAACTTTTTTTCCGGTTTTGATTCAGTTATTAATTATTTTAGTTAATATGGACTATATACGCGGGTTACGTTTTATTATGGAATATACAGCTTCTATAATTGTTAATTATAATTTTTTCCCCAATATTTCAACTGATATCATACTTTTTTTTATTTATTCTATTGATTTTAATTATTCCAAATATTAAAATATGCCCGTCATCGTTTGAGTTTTTTTTACTCCATAACGGTGTGATCTGCGCTTTTTAGGTTTCTTAGCATAATAGTCTAGAACACCTTATATATTCCCATTGTTCCATATATTCCATCCGTTAGTTACCTGCAGTAATCATAGTTACGACTGTTTGTGTTAAGATATTTTAACCGTGGTTTTATTCAAAGAAAATTCATACTTGCCAGAAGCTTGTATTAAAAAATATGAGTTCAATTGAAGCCAATATTAAAAAATAGGTACCAAAATATAAATAATACCAAATAATTATTTTTAAATTGTATAATTTGGAATTATAGCTTATTCCGGTAGTGTTATATACTTATATGTATTAAAATACGTTTAGAAGCCGGGAATTTTACACTCTCGCTTTCCTTACTTGTTTTTAAAATATTTTTTTTTATGGCGATATTAGATTTTTATTCGATTATTTGCAGTTTATTAAGTTTAAAAAAAAAATAATTTCGTGTAAAGTTTAATAGAAATAATATTTCGTTAAGAAATATTATGTCAGAAGACTGAAACTTTAAATAGGCTGACCTCTTATTATAGTCTTGTATATAATTTATTGTAGATACCTACCTGTAGCATATTATAAAAGCAAGTCTTATGCAAACAAAAGTGTTGTGAGCGAAATGTTTCTATTACGTATATATACTATTAGTATAGGTGTATATAAGTCGTTGACCGTTGTATACAATTTTTAGAACTAATGGCCATGGGAAGTGCTATGCATAGTAAAATACAGTCGCATTTAACCGGCTGCGAACCGGACGTAAGTCATTACGTTGAAGTAGAAAACTGTTGGAAAAGTTTGGATGCAGTTTTAAAAAACGTTTCGAAACCGATTCTGGTGGAAAAAATGGTCGTACACGACGGATTGTCGTACAGAGGCATCGTGGATTGCGTTGCGTTTTACAAGTAATGATATAGTTATTACCTATACAGTAATATAAACTGACAAAACTGGTATTTTTAACGTACATACCTCAAATCGATTTTCATATTATACTTAAACGGCAATAATTATAACTTGTCGTGTTTTACAGAGACACTCCTGTGGTAATCGAATGGAAAAAATCGTCACGTGATAAATCGAGTTTGCAGTCGACGTACGACGCGCCTATTCAATTGGCAGCTTATATGGGAGCTGTGAATAACGACATTTCCTATGACTTCAAGGTAAATTATTGTACTTCATATTTATTGAATTAATTATTTTTAGATTTTTAGGAAAAAAGCTTTTTTTTCGCCGATAATTAATTACGTTTATACTATATTATGTATAATATTGTATAGATTCATTATACGCATTTACTTTCAAACTTTGATGCATAAAAAATAATGGATGATGATGATTTTGTCCGAATTCGCGTTTTACAAAGTTGTGTTCATGTTCAGACGTTATTATTATTATTATTTTTTTTTACTATTATAACACATTAATTATAAAACGCAACTTTTTTTTTAGTTCGTTTCGAGCGTGTTGTTGTTATTGGCATAATAGAATATATGATACGCGCCATGTACACGATACACCTACTTTATTTTCGAGTGAGTTATGGGCCCCGGGGAAAATTTAGTGGATTACTCGCTATATTATACGCGTGTTCCGTGATACGTTTTTCGGACGGTGAAAAAAATCTCTGGGACCAAAAAATAGCCTTAATTTAAGGTGGTTGTGATATTGGAGATAGGCGGTGTACGGTGTAAACAGAGCTTTCGTTATTTGAGTTTCGTCGTAGTTATATATTTACACTATAGGTATACGAGGAAATTGTTTTTGTGTAATATACTTGTTATTATATATACCCACAGTATACACGAAATATATTTTGGAAGGTCCCACATTTAAGCAACGATGGTCTCGTATATAAATACGTATCTTGATAATACTAATTATTATAAAGACGTGCTGCCGTCTCAAAAGCTTTTAAAATTATTAATATAGTATGCAATTTTATTTAGGTTGAAGAAGGATTACTAGTCGTCGCGTATAGTGACGGTCATCCGGCCAATGTCTTTAAACTGACAAAAGAAGCGTGTCTCGATTATTGGAAGATTTGGGTGGGTAGACTGAATAAATACAAACAAATTCAAAGTAGTTTTAAGTAATTATTGTTATAGTTCAATTAATATAATTGAATACATCAAGGAACTGATTAATTCGTTTTTTCTTCTTCTGTTTCATCCGTAACTTTGACATTGTTCGTTATTTTCACAAAATTCTTACTGAGCCTGTAAACAAAATAAATTAAACATAAATAATACGAAAAACCTATTCATATTCATTTGAGTAATATCTCTTAATATTGTGATATTATGATATTATGTATTAACCGCATGGTAAGTATGGTTATGTACCGTAATATTTATTTACTAAATTATATATAAAAAAAAAAATTAAACTTATAAAACAGTATACTTTTCTTTTTTGCTCATTATCTTTTTTATTATATTTTTATATTTTTAAGAACAATAGGGTTTTTACAGTACAATTTTATTTTGTCACATATAACTTGTTCCTACCGTATTATACATTTATTTTTTTCATGAAATGTGTTTGGTAACGGTTTGCCTATGTATATATATATTATTTATTAAGATTAAGTTAATGATTGTACTGTAATTTATAAGGATTCTTAGTAATATAAATTACTTTTATTTATGTAAATAATATGGTTTTTTCTAAGTTAATTAAAAAAATATTTTTTAATTGAGTTCTTATTTAAAGGAAAGTCTATTATTCAAAATGTATTGTTTGCTCCAACAACAATAGATATTTTACAGTTTTATTTATTTATTTTACGATATGCGTTTTAATAAAATATTTGTTTTTCATCTTTTTATTAGTTATTCTCTCTACGAGCTTATACTAGAGTCTTTGTTCTCAACCCTTGCACATTTTCCTTTCAGTAATTACTTTGTCGTCGATTCAATAAAACAACACATTTAATAATTCAAATAAATCATTTCTATTTATTTTTAACGTCTTGATTCACTTGTTGGTGTCGCTTATGCACACATATCAATATAATATAAGGATGTTATAGTTGTTTCATTTTTCAGTGAGGCATATAAAATAAATTATCTACAGTAAAAATAATTTTATAATATCGAAGACTTGATGTTATATTATAATATTTTCATTTGTTGATGTGTAGTAAAGCTATTTGCCTATTTTATTTATTAATTTAATCACTAAAATGCAAATACCTAAAGAAACTGGAACATAACCAATATCGTGCAAATGTTTCTGGTTGCGTAAAAAAATCACCAGAGACATTTTATGATGAGAAATGAAAGGATAGATTAAGGTGGATAAGGGTACGTATAATGTATTAGATACTTTCAAAACGTAATTTTTGTTATTATTCAAATGTAGACATTCAGGAATTTGTCTATTTAGCATTTTGTATTGCATATTTGTTGTAATATATGAATTGAATCAATTTAATAATGAGGGATTTTAAATGGAGCTAAAAGCTTTAGACTTTCGAATAAATCCCGTCACGTCTGTGCTATTTTCGTTAGCTCGGTACCACAGCAATATCACAATGTCGCAGTTTCCTTTTTTCTTTCTATATTCCCACTGTTCTTTGCGAATCGTAATTGAACCAATTTATCAGTACTTGCTGAAATTCTACGGTACTATTGCTATTTATGTAAGTTTGCCACGATGAATACCTTAGCGAAGTTGTATGATTTTATAGTAAACATCAATCTTAGATTTTAAACAGAGCGATGAATGTATTGGTTTTACAATGATGTGTGTGTTTTTTTTATTTTCTTGTTCATCGTCATCTTTTAGAGCAGTACAAATTCTTCGATTTTTAACTATTTGAGTAGGGTTTCTGATAGCATTAGATTCAACCTACCGTATTAATAATAATATATACTTAGTAATAAAAGCATACAAACTGTCTTCGCTCAGTAACGTTTTTCGTATTCAATGATTTATCATTTATTATTGAATTCAAATTTAACACATCCATTATAGTGACATTCTTAATGAAGTGGTACACACGATACCTACCATATACAGTAGAGTGAGTTCCTTGGTTTCTATATTTAATTCTTTATAATGTGCTTAGAAAGACAGGCGATAAATAATAAATTGTAAGATTCAAGAAGGTTTGAGCAATAGTTCTGTTTAATTAATATAGTAGGTATCTGTGTTTTTATTAGAAACTGACGACATTAGGTTTTTAATTTTTATAAGCTACCTACTTGATTCAGGAAAATTAATTTCGAAAAAAATATCATTCAACGTTTAGAGATCAGTTCTAGTTGTAAAGTTGTGTGTGGTGTAAATTTGACATTATCTATATACAGGGTGATTTACCAAGCATTTTCACCCCTTTTTCTCCTTCAATAATGCAGTTATTCAAAATCTAATTTTTTAATTTTTAAATATACATTAAGATCATATTTTCAAATTCTTGAGATTTTTTGTACTACTTAAGGAGTGTTTTGTGGAGATACCAAGTATAATAAATACTAGATCCAATTTTAAGTCTTTTTTATATTTATGTAAAACTAGTTTTAAGGACTATTATCCTAAATTCAAACATTTTAATAGCCAAGAAATTAGTCGTTTGAATTTTTATTGTTGGACATCAACATTCTCAAATAAATTATCCACTAATTAATTTACAGTAAAAGAGGAGGGTTCACCACAGGGCACAGGACACTTTTTAAGTAGTACTAAAAAATTCAAGAATTTGAAAGTATGGTCTTTGAGTATAATATAGTGAACAACGTAATAGAAATTTCAAAAATCAGAATTTGAATAAATTCATTATTAAAGGAAAAAATGGGGGTGAGACTTCTTGGTGAATCACCCTGTATCTACGGAGACAGTATAAACATACATTTATCGGCTGTAGTCAATGTGCACCAAAATTGACCCAAAATATATACAACATGTGTAATTTGCACTATTTTTTTAAAATGCATTTGTAATTTGCACCAAAATAAAGATATGTCATTTGCACCATCCGTAGGTAATAAGAAATAGGAATTGTAAATTGTAATTCGCACCAAAATTAAAATCGATTATTTTTTCGATAGTATCTCGATAGTACCAACTTACAAGGTTAAGCTTATACACAAATTGCTGTAAGTTTATATAAAATCGTATAATTATGAATATAAAAAAAATTAGCCAATCAAAATAATTATATGTAAAATTGAAAAAAAAACAGTACAGATTTCGATAAAGATGTCTATAATCCTAATATAACTTTAGAGCTTCGACTGTTTTGGTTAATTGAATTTTTTTTGTATTTGTATGCAACTAATTCAATGAATGAAGTTCTTTAAATACATTTATTATTATACTGGTCTAAAGCAGCTTAAATTTGTTTTGTCCGTTGACATGTTTGAGAAGTTATTCGCAGAGTTATATGTTAACTTGATAGTTTTATGTACGTATCTGTTTGAAAATCTGTTAGAACTTAAATGAAACTAAAAATTTGAGGGTGTGGATGATACAATTCTGAGTTAAATTTACTGTGAAAGGATTCACATGCATTCGTTGTAAGTGCAGACGACGATGATGAAACTGCCCAAATATACGGGGGAAATAATGAATTGTTGTCTCTATAATTATCAATCAAATAGTCAGCAAACATTTGAAATTTAGTCGTCAAAATATTACCAGATAAGTTGAAAAATCCCAAAAAATTATTATCATCATTCGTGTCCGTCTAACCTTGACGCAAACGAGGATATCGAAGAATAATGTACAAATAAATAATAATTTTGGTACAAATTACATACCTTTATTTTGGTACAAATTACAAACACTACTTTCAACTACCTGCAGTGGTGTGAATTACATATCTTTAATTTGGTGCAAATTATTAGCTCCCGATTAAATAAATACAGTGAAACTTCCATATAACGAAATTTCATTTAACAAAATTTTCTATTTAACAAATTATTTTTTAGAACCTTCATACACGAAAATTTATCTCCAAATAACGAATCTGTTGTTTCTATATAACGAAATAATTATTCGATAAAAACTGGTTTTTGTAAATGTTATCACTATAAAATGTTAAACATATAGTTCTGAAATTGTACATGAACAATGGATCCGATAAAGATAAAACACCGAAGGTAGGCAAACTGATTAATTTTATTGCAGTATTTTAAAACTTAATGATATAGAAACTTTTTATGAAAAAAGTACAATTTATAAAAATAATAAGGAAACAAAACTCACTAATTATTTCTTTTGAATTATAAAATTAAAAACTAAATTAAACTGTAATATTATATTTAATGTTGTTTTTTTACATAACACATACAACACATAAGTATATACATACAATATAATTTTTAAAAAAAGTTGAAAATATAATTAATTCTATTTAACGAATTCCTCCTACTACGAATTTTTTTTTGCTGCTTATTCGACTTCGTTTATGGAAGTTTCACTGTATTTTAAGAATATAGCTCCTACTCCTTCTATAATACTGCCATATGGACGTACGGAAATACGCGGAAATCATTTCCAAATAAAGAACAGAGAAAACAATAACTTTTGAGATAATAAATATTTATTGTAGGGATCTTATCCGACGGGTTTCGTCAAAATATTACTCTCTATACTCGACAACGATTTACTTTGTAGTTAAAATTAAGCTAATTTTTTTGGCTAGATTTAGACCATCCTTTTCCAAATAACTGGTGATAGGAATGATATTAATATTAGGGTTATGAGTATGAAATATCTCACATGAAATTTTCACTTTGAAATATTGAAAAATATATTTTAATTTTGTTTTTTAATTTTTTGTTTTTGGTATGTTCGACAAAATCATCACTAGATTGAAGCATTATTATTTATTATATTTTTAATTTCATTTTAAGTATATAAATTAATTTTAGTTCCTATTGTGATCAGCTGTTATCTATAGTCAGTAGTCACACCACAAAAGCCAGTCAATAAATTTAGAGACATTTTAATTATAAAAATTATAATTTATATCTTTAATCTCAACTATGCCACAGGGGCCAAAGAGAGGCATCTAATTTGTTTTTAATTTTTAAAGATTTATTGCAAGTCTGCAAACAATAATGTGATAATATAATAATAAAAAACTAAATTTCATGAAATTTTAGAACCCTCATTAATATAATACATATTGTGTGATGTTTAGTATAGATATAGAATAATGCATTAATAGATTTATAATTTGTTAATGTAATTATGTAAAATACTTAAATGTCAATGTGTCTTACGGTATTAAGATGATCATTAAAAATTGCGGGGCCCTGTAACAAGTGCGGTGGCCCTGGACATATGTCCCATTTGTGTCCTCCCCTAGCCCCGGCACTGCGCAAAACTCAATAAACATTTGATTCTTAGGCGGTGTAGTGTAGTAATCGGCTCTGCAGCATTTTTATTAAATTGCTAGGAAGAATGCTACACAACGTGCAGTATGTTATATGTATACGACTTTGAAATAGCTTGTTATTTATGTATGGGAAAAGAACCAAGTGATCCTTATCGAACGTATCTGTGTTGATCAATTAATTGTAATAATTTAACTGTAGTTTTTTTCTCTTCGATTGAGCATAATAATATAATATATACCTACTATTATTCATTTCTATCGGCTACTTTGACGTCTATATTACTTACCTACATAACATGTTATCGTCGCTTAAATGCTCGTCTAGTGGACACTGAGCCGGCACAAAGGTCAAAGAGTTAAATTCAAACGGTCAGTACAGGGGAACCGAGCTGGGTGTATCTATCTACTACTTAGCTGTTGAAAGTTTTCAATTACGAAATGTCATCTCATTAGTTATCATGTATAAATTATCGAATACCTAACTATTGGTCTTGAAAAAATCATATCTGTTACTATACCTCGTTGTGATGACCCTTTTCCATTCGTAATCAGTATTGTGAATGGTAACTTACTTCAACGTCCAGTTACGGGTTAAATCAGAGGGGCCCAACAGTAAAAGTAATAAATAACAATTGAAAAATAAAATTAATTCACATTTATCTACGACTTTATGCAAAATAAAATATTCATTAGTGTATTTCCTTTTTTTCTATTGCTTATTGTCAATTACATAGTACGTTTATTGTTAATCAGACATGAAACTGTGTCGCAGCTTTGTCGTCGTTACCTATACGTTGTTTAATAATAGAAACAACACTGTATTTATCGTTTTGTACGAACGCTATAATTTATCCACCACCAATATCAACTATTCAAATATTCAATTATTAGGACTTAAAGTAAAAATTTAAAATTTTTTGGTCAGCTAAGGAATTTTTTCTATGGCCCTCGGTAAAAAAAAGGTTGGTCATCACTGGGTTACCTGACCAGGATAATCCCTCAATACTCAGAAAAATACTTGTTTAAGAGTGTAAGCGCGCTTGTGCACAACTTACTTGTTGAGCTCTTCCTCTAGCCCGCGATTAGCTTGTTCGATTTGTTCTCGCTGCGCAGTGATCGCTTTCATGCGGTCCTGCAGCAGTTGAATCCTTTCCTCCAACAGTGCCTCCATGTTTCGTTCCTCTTGGCTCAAGTTTCGCAGATCGTCGGCGAGGCTGAGCTGTGTACAAAGGAAGATGGCAATATAATTATGTAAGTATAATATTAATAATAACAACGATTAGTCGTTATTGTAATATTATACGACGTTATTCGCGCGCAGAGAATAACGACACCCGTATGCGTCGATGTGCACGAACATCGTTGGACCACCGAATGTGGATGTACGTATCATGTATAACGTGTGTGTGTGTGTGTGTGTGTGTGTGTGTGTGTGTAGGCAAGCGTGTATGTGGTGCACCATGTCTATAATTAAGCTAGGGTCCTGGACATGCGCCAGCGCCATTACATTCGTATGATAATATGAGTGTGCCTGCTGTAGGTTTCACGTTGTGTCAAATATATTGTAAAATAAGTTATCGAGATTGATAGCAGGTGACGAAGACGTGACAAAAAAAAAAAAAATTGTAATTATAATATTTAATTATTTAAATGTCTAAATAGTCTGAAAAGCACTGTCCTGGAGGGGATGGGGTTCATCTGGGAGGATTCTTTATATCATGCGAATCATTCATACGCCGATTCCTCAACAAAAAAAATTTTTAGTTTAAGATAAAAATAATGGAAAAGTGAAAACTATGAGAAAATGTAGGTGTAGACAATAATACATTATTATGATCATTGACGTTTAGATTTTTTTCAGTTCTTTGTGTTTTTTTGGAATATTTTGATATTGCCTGGTTTACGATAAAATAATCACCAGCTCTGTGAACAGTTCAGGTATATAGGTAGAATTGTGTTGTAAATAATATTTAAAACCGACGCCATGATTCGATACGTTTCAAAGTTCACTTCATTTATAATTTTGCTTATATTCCAATTAAAATAAACTTGTATTGTAATGAGTTATAACATTTCATCTGAAACGAATTTATAAAATCCATATAAAGTCGTTTCACTATAATTTACGACTACCGTACCGATAAAGATGATATTTATTTCAAATGCACTTCTTTTTATGACCCTTTAAGTTGTTGTGGTTGTTACCGTAATTCAGTAGTGGTTTGCGGGCGATCTCGTTCAAAACTCTTGACATTTAAAAGTTATCGGTTTTAATAAATAAATAATGTTTTAAAATTGTTCGGATGATAACTTAAAAATGTTCAAACGATTATATTAGTCATAAGAAAAGTAAATTTAGTAAATTTTAGGTCAATTCAGTCGAATAAACAATCTTGTTGGTTTGCGCATTAAGTTAATAAATAATTGAAAATGTCTATAAAAAGAACATTCTGTTTTAAGAAATGACGACTGTATGGGATTGCTTGAAACATAAACAATAGCAGCAGTAAAGCAGTAAGTATTAAAAATGTACACCAAAATATGAGCCTTTTAAATTAAATTTAATGAACTTTTTGCAGTGTATATTTTTAGTACCGTATTTCAACTGAACGTGTTTTTATGCTTTAAGTACAGGGTTGTAAAAATAGCTTAAGGATAAATAAAAGTTATTTTGAAGTTAATCGAGTAGAGAGATAAAACAATAGTTTGCTTTATTTATATAACAATTTGTGTTGACGCAAGAAGGTACAGCTAAGTTAAAATTTGATTTCTAAATAAATTGACTGATTTCTAATCATAACACTATTTTGAGACACATTATAGTTTTTGAATTTTTATTATTGACGATCTTTTAATTTCCATGCTTTCAAATAAAAAATAGTTGTTTAATAACTATCATACATTGTATCAATAACACATAATATTATTTAAGTAGGCCTCTTGATCCACCAACAATCTTATTTTATAGATTGTTTTATCAAAAAATGTAAGTAGAAAATCAATAAATATAAGATTTAGTTTCCCTGCGCATTATTTTATGGTTGAGTGGTATTAAGAAATATTTATGAGTGAAGAAATTAAAATTTCTAATCAACAATGATAGGGAAAATAATGGAAGACGATAATATAAATGTGATCACATTTGATTTAATGCAAAAATTAGAGGTAAATAATGGGAAGTTCTATACACTTTATTAATAAAAGAAAAAAAATCAAAATTCCCTTAAAACAGTGGTTACCCAAGTTACAATAGTAATGTTTGGTATAAACATCGGTTTTCAATCAATAAAAAACCACGCTTGACTTGTGACTTGTGATATAATGGTCATTTCATTTCCACAAAGTTCCACACAATGTAATATTATGTTTAAACGATTCGTTGTCGTCCCTTAAATTCCCCCTCGGTTGTCACAAACAAGTGCAGTTAAGCTTGTGCGGTGAACAGTAATGCGCTTTTAATGCATAACTTTCTCAAGATTATTATTTTAAAATTAATATTGAATTGTGATTTTGAAATATTTCTTGAAGTTCGTTTCCATAACGGACGTTATTTTTATGCGTTTATTACTTTATGAAATATTATAGTAACTATAGCTGCACGTATTTAGGTGCCTACAAAGAGAAATTCGTAGTACATTTTTCATCCAGTGTTTGAGTAATTTTAACGACATAAACGAACTGTGACTAATATAAAAACGGGGCACATCGCAGGTAAAGGACGACTATTAATTGGTAGTTTCGATTATCGTAAGATGGTAGATAGACTAAATCGTAACAGGAAAATTAGTGAATTGGTGTAGCGCAGGAAAGTGAGGCCACCAAGAAACAAAGTTTTTACTAGGGCGTTACCACCCACAAAATTTTGATTATGCCAAGACATTGCCCTACCCTACACTAGGTGTTTGTGTTTGCATCTTTGCATTCTATTCGCATATATCATAATAAATAAGTGACATTATCTTACGTTGGACGATGACACTTCCTGTTCTTCTTCTATTAGTTTCACCAGAGTTTTCCCATAGTTTACAATCATTATACTTCTTGAATAGATCAACAACACTATATTATATTATATTTATATAGGTGATAAAAAACCATTAGAATATGATTATGAACAACTTTGCTAAATAATTCAGGCCCACGTACCTTTAGTGCAGTTATCTATCTTTTCCACGAGAACGGCGGCCGCGAAAAGGTCTTTCCAGACTAATATCTTGACCTTGGCATTATCAATTTTTCGATTCGATAAGTCCAATAACTTCCGTTTTTTCTCTACTTTTAAACTTAATTTATTCATTTGACTTTTTTCATTGTCTCTTCTTTCTCGTTTTAGAATGTCAACACGCGTGTTGGCCAAACATCGCAGTTCGTTTTGTTCTATCTCCAATTCGCTTATCTGATTATAAATAATATAAAATACAATTGATTTATCGGTTAATGGTTAACGATTTAACCATTATTATTGTCGTACTCTTTCATCGAATTAGGCCAAAAGAAGACACGCAGACACGCGCATGATATAATTGTACCCTAACACCCGATGGCTGTAAATTATAGTTGACAAAAAAAATTTGTAATGTCGTTCTGCTTATTGATATTATTTGCTTTTTGGTATTCTATTTGTGCTGTATGATAATTATCTCGTAAAATAGTAACTAGTAAGCACCATCAAATTATAAACTATTTAATTAATAATTATATATTAGTTCTTATCAAATGGATCCGTGTCCCACGACAAACATAATATTCAAATACAATCAATATATAAAATAATAACATCTGCTTTGCTTACACTCCTATAACAGTATTATTTTATCTAAATATAAAAATTACACCGCAGTTATACTTTATACACAGAATTTAGTAATTATAGTATAATGTCATTGTCATAATATTATTGTACTATTTTTATTTTTTCAAATATTTATAAATTGATCGTCATTTGAAAATATTTGTCTGAGTTGACTCGAGTATAAATATATATTGTATTTTTTTCTCAACGCATTAATTATTATAATATTATGCTTGCAAATGTAAAGTGATACTAATAACTAATGTTTTATTTCAAAGTTGTATATATTCTTTTTTGTAAGAAGTAAGGAAAATATTATAAACTTAATGTTATGAGACTAAAGAGTATAAAGTTATTTGTATTATTATTGAAGCTATTCTCTAACGAAATGGTAGACTATTAAAAACTTTCCAGTCTACAAATGTGTGTCGTTAACAAATAATAACTATGCTACCAGTAAGCCATTAGTTATACTTTTTGCCCACCATTCGAAACTATTGTTTTTATGTTAAACGAGGACATTACTTTTATATTCGTTTTTTAAATATTGTCCTTGTAGATTTCAAAGAGAATATTATGCATTTGTCACTTTTAATAATTTCTGTAGTTTAGTTTTAAATTATTATTAATTGTCCCGAGATTTAAATTTCAAATTGATTATAATATATTACCACTTAAACGAATACAAATTACATCAATATTAAGATCAAAATTATATAACATCTAATAAATTATAGTAATAATTATACTCAACATTTCCAGACGACTACTAGAGCTACGTGTGTTCCTGGAGGCTAAGGTTGAGCAATTTCCGGGAGCGTAATTGCAATTATCGATGAGTGGAAATTCCCAGGAATGTCAAGAAATGCTTGGAAATGACCGGGAATATTGAAAAATGCATGGTAATAAATTACTATTTATAAACATGTTATCTTATGACGTATGTGAAAAACGATGCTGAGTGAATGCAGTCTGTCAGCCTATAATAATATTGTTTTAATTTACAAAAAAATAACTACATTCGATTTTAATGATCGTTATTATGAGTTTAAATATCTAATTTCATCCAAGTTTAAACTTAAAATATCAAAATGTCGATTCAAATAAAAAAAAAATACTATGTTTGTATAATTTTTAGATTTGATGGTTACACTATGAAACACTTATGAGAAATCTTGTTTTAAATTTTTAATCCTTAGCTATATAAATTAACCATTTCTTACATTTTAAACAGCAAAATAATTTTTAAATTTGACGAATTTTGTTAACATTTGAACATTAAATGTTTATAAATAAAAATTTTTTGTATGCATTTTAATATTATTATAAATTTATAACACATTATATTTATAAGGAAATTTGAATTTAATGTTCAAGCTTTTTGACCCAGTAAAAATATTGTTATTGATATTACATAATAATATAATGTAAGTTCATGACGTTACTGAATATAATATTATACTGGACATAATTAAGGTTATGAGTATAAAATATTTCACATGAAATTTTCACTTTGAAATATTTCAAACTTGAAACTTTCAACCTCGTTGAAATCTTTCAACGAAATATTGAAAAATATAAAATTTTAATTTTTTTGTTT